TCACCACAGCAGCGGCTCCCTGTGCAGGCTGAAGACCTTGGCAGCTTCCTGAGGGACAGCTTTCCTCCAGCTCCTCATCCAGGTACAATGCAGTTGGGGCTCTCCTTTTGTGGCCCACTCTTGGCTTGCACCTTGCCAGCACCTGGGGATGGTCCCAACTTTAAGGTTGGGGCTATAATAGAAGTGTAGAAGCTAAAAAATGCAAAGGAGAAGAGTTAGTTGCAACCAGTTCAAGCCTGGAAAACACAAATATATGAGAACTAAGACTTTTAATCACAAAAGCCAAACTTAGGTATTGAAAAGGACTCTTAGGGGCGTTTGAAACCTCAAGCTTGGGCTGTCTCAAACGTGATGATATGGTTCTGTTAAGTCATAACCAGCCCTGGGTTTTTACTTGAGAAATACCCTGAGAAAGAAATGAAGGTGAGGACATTTATGGCCGTCCCCATCTCCTCTGTTGCCCAGGCTTACTTGATTTGAACATCAGTCTCTCCCACCAGTTCCTGTGCAGAGGAATACCTTTCTAGGTATTCCTCTGATACCTTTCTAGGAGCTGCTGCTTCCACTGGAAATTTGTCCCCGGAGTCAGATGAGTCGGACGCCTCTGGCAGTTCGCGCAGCCCATGGAGGTCAAGCTGACGATGGAAACTTTCCGCGCTCTCCATTTCAAAAACTCTCCCAAGTACTCTTCTTGCCAGCTCTTCCTTCTTGAACATTTCTTCACTGATGGCAACAAAGACTCCATCATCAATCCACCAAATGGACTGGAACTCATCGCTGCGGGCAGTTTTCCAGAGCTGCTTGAGAAAGGAGACATCTTTGGTTTTGCCAGTGGTCTCCTCGGAAGTAGGAATGTCTCTTTCAGTAGTGCTGTCATCACTCCAAGCTTGGAAAGACTACTCTCCTGTCATTGCTCCTACAGCAGCGTCCCCAGCTGCTTGATCATCCCACTCAGGAGAGGCAGGAGAAGCTGAGTCTGACGACTCCCCCAGCTCGTCCAAGGAAGAAGAGGAGGAGATTTCAGCTGTTGACGACTCCCTTTGAAACCATCCAGTCTCGTTTGGGCTCAAGCTGTTTTCTGCAACCATCGCTCTGGCCAGCCAGGCTTGGTCCTGCCAGATGCCAATCGAAGGCCAACTGGCGCCAACTGGCTGATGGCAGGTTGCCATGGGACATCACTGTGGCGCCCATGCCTCATGGCAGTGACATTGCAGGGTAGCACCCATGACCTGACACAAGGGAGCAGCCAGAGGAGACATTGCTGAAGAGCACTTGTTGCTTTTCACTCCCAGAGCCACCGATGGTGGGACTCCAGAGCCCAGAAGTCAATAAAGCTGCGTTGAACAGCTGTAGGCAATGAGAGGATGGTGCTGTGTCCGGCTGCACCCAGGAGTGGGTCGGCAGGGAGGAGCGGGGACGGCTCCAGCGTTGGGCATCCCAGTGCCCCGTTTCTGAAGTTTTCCAGCTGGGCACCTCTGACACCTGTAGAAATGTCCTTACGGTCTTTGCTGTGCTGGTGGCTCTTGAGCTCCTGCTTCATAGCCTTTGGCAGAGAGTGGGGAGCAGCAGGGCTGGGGCTGCAGCTAGTGCCTGGAGTGCTGGGTTTGTGGGGCCCCTCCTGATCCAGACATTGCTTCACCTTCTCCATGTGTTACCCTGACTAGGGCCCTCCTGGTCCCCTTTATTTCCCTCTGGGTTGTCCAGTGGTGTGGGGAAGTCCGTTTCCCCAGCTGAATGAATGCAAGAAAATAGAAATCTCTTCCCATTTGCTGCCCGTTTCTTCTCTAGACAGAGAAAGGCTCTGCGATTTGAAGAACACTGCTTCTGCAAGGGAATAGGCATGCACCCATGTGATGCTCCTCTCCCAGATTTCAGCAGTCTCCCAGGGGCTGCTCTGTAGGATCAACTAGAATTAAAACACTATGAGGGTTGTGCAAAGGAAATGGAAGAAACAGGAGGTGTGCAACCCCCCCTTTCCTTGGTTTGATTCCTCTGCTTCTCTTTGCTCTTTCAAATGTAGGAATGAAAGCAACAAAATCAATCCTGCTCTGTGAACCTTTTGAATCAACCCCCTCTCTACAGGATCAGGAGCTTTTTCTGTAAAGAAGAGGTCTGATCTCGAGAGCCCAGAAGTCAATAAAGCTGCGTTGAACAGCTGTAGGCAATGAGAGGATGGTGCTGTGTCCGGCTGCACCCAGGAGTGGGTCGGCAGGGAGGAGCGGGGACGGCTCCAGCGTTGGGCATCCCAGTGCCCCGTTTCTGAAGTTTTCCAGCTGGGCACCTCTGACACCTGTAGAAATGTCATTATAGTCTCTGTTGTCTTGTTGCTGGATGCTGACTGTACAGAAACATCATCCAAGCTGTTAAAGCCGCCTAAAGTTTGCGTTCACCTGAACGCAAAGAGCAGCAGCAAGCGTGTAGGAAGAAGCCTCTGCCAGGCGCAGGAGAAGGTAGCCCAAGACACAGGGAAAGCCTTGGAGAAAAGGAGGAGAATTCCTCCAGTCCTCCACTTTTTCCAGTGGCATTGCAATACAGAGCCAGAGCAGGATGACAGCTCTTTCTGAAGAGCAGAAAGAAAGGAGGAAGGGAAACCGCTCGGCAGGGACTTGCTATTTCTCTTCTCTCCTGGGGACAGGGTGGCCGTCAGCTCCTGCCTTCTCACTGGGCTAGCATGCAGAGCCATTAAGTGTACAGGCAGTAGAGCTTGTATAGGTGACACACTTGCATCAGTTTTGGCAACAAAACCCTATGACCACGAAAACATTTCCAAACATCCGTTTTCAAGATGCTCTCTCTCCGGGGCACAAATGTCTTTCAAAAAGCAGTTACTAACACCAACGACCTTGCTAGAATAACTTGGGGTTGTGAGTACCCCCAGCACTCGTACTGGGCCCCAGCAATAACCAGCATTTGATTTCTGCAGAGTTACTAGAGCTGACTTGTTCATTTCTTTTTATTATA